ACAATGGGTGGTTTTACGCTACCTCAATTATACCTTATTGAAATCATTTAAATAATGAAATTCAACTTTCATGCCAGCAGCATCTGGCACAGCTGATCATTGCCTCCTCCTTGAACGCCTGTCTTCACGCTACATTCTTGTTCTCTCCTATGCTCCGTCCACGGTCTGTTTAAGAGCATGATTCAATCCTTTCTCCATCTCTCCTCCCCCTGGGTGAGCTCGCTCAGGTCTATGCCTTTATTTTTTTTTTTAATGTTTTTTATTTATTTCTAGGGGAGAGAGAGAGAGAGAGAAACAGCGTGAGCAGGGGAGGGTCAGAGAGAGACAGCATGAGCAGGGGAGGGTCAGAGAGAGAGGGAGTCACAGACTGAAACAGGCTCCAGGCTCTGAGCTGGCAGTCAGCACAGAGCCCGACGCGGGGCTCGAACCCACGAACCGCAAGATCATGACCTAAGCGAAAGTCGGACACTTAACCAACTAAGCCACCCAGGTGCCCCAGGTCTATGCCTTTAAATATTGGGACTGATGATGTCCCGACGTATCTGCAGCCTCGCCCTCCCTCCTGAACTCCAGACCCTTGTACCCAAACGCCTGCTCCAAGTCTCCTTCAGATGTGTCATGGGCTTCTCGAACATCATATGCCCACACTGAGCTCCTGCCCTTCCCAACCTGAGGCTGTGCCACACTCAGGGCCCTCATCCCAGCCGGTGGCCGCTCTGTCCTTCCCACTGCTCAGCTCTAAACCCTGGAGCCCTCTTGCATTCCTCTGTTTCTCCCTCACCCACATCCAACCCATCAACAACCCCCAACCAGCACTTCCTTCTAAACATGCCTGGAACCAGACCACTTCTCCCTCTACACATCTACCGCCTTGGTCCAGCCTGCGGTCACCCCCTGCGGGGATTGCCGCAGTAGCCCCCTCACTGGCTTCCCGGCTTCCACCCTTGTCCGGTAGTTTTTTCACAGCATAACATCCAAAGTTGTCCTAATAACGTGTAAATCCAGTCACATCGCTCCCTTCTGCAGAGCCCTCCCTGGTCCCCATTGCATTTGGTTCCATGTGACCTAGGTGAGCTGTCAGCACAGAACCCCATGCAGGGCTTGAACCCACGAACCATGAGATCATGACCTGAGCCGAAGTCGGATGCTTAAGCTACTGAGCCACCCAGGAGCCCCATAAGTGTTCATCTTTTTAAATAAATAAATAAACATTAAAGAGAAAAAGAATAATAACAAAAACATAGGTCCTGGTGGGTCTGGCCTAATCAGGGGATCCTCTTCAAAGAAACTTCCCGATGCTCAGAGACTTGAAGCACCAAAGAGAGAGAGAGATCTCTCTCCCTCTGTCTCTGGCCTTGGAGAAGCAAGCCACGAGTTCTACAGCTGCAAGGAAATGAATTCTGCCACCCGCCTCCCAGGCTCCAGAATGGAATGCAGCACGGCTGACATCTTGACACCACCCCCGTGAGACCCTGAGCAGAGGACCCAGCTGAGCCATGCCCAGACCCACAGAAACTGTGGGGTAATAAGTGGGTGCTGTTTTTTTTTTTATTTTTATTTTTTTAATTTCTAGGAGAGAGAGAGAGAGACAGAGAGACAGCGTGAGCAGGGGAGGGTCAGAGAGAGAGGGAGTCACAGACCGAAACAGGCTCCAGGCTCCAAGCTGGCAGTCAGCACAGAGCCCGACGCGGGGCCCGAACCCACGAACCGCGAGACCATGACCTAAGCGAAAGTAGGACGCTCAACCGACTAAGCCACCCAGGCGCCCCAAGTGGGTGCTGTTTTAAACTGCCAAATCTGTGGTAATTTGTTACGTAGCAACAGAAAGCCAGGCCCATTTTCAGATAGCTACGTGGCTTCTTTCCTTATGTCTGTCCAAAGTGCCCGCTGTTACCTTCACGAAGAGGCCTGTACAGAGCACCCTCAGGAAAATTGCAACATGCCCCCCCTTTTCCTCCATTGCGCTTACCACCTCCCAACCTGCCGAAACATGTTTCTTGTTTAATGCCTCCCCTCGTCTACCAGAACATAAGCCCCCGAGAGGAGGGATTTTTGTCCGTTTGGTCCGTGGGTGTTGCAGGCGTCTGGGACTCCGCGCCTCTCCGGAGAAGGTGGCCTTGATGAGCTGAGGGAATGCCAGCCCTGCGGGGCCTTCACGCGAAGGCAATTTATGTGCATGTGTTAACCTGGGTGAGGTCAGGGTGCGCAAAGGACAGGCGGGAGGCCTTTCCGGAGCCGCCTCTGGGGTCAAGCCCTTGGCCTTCCAGCCCGGCAATACCAATGGGCTGATTTGGGTGAGAAGCAAGGCGGGGTGCTGACTGGTGATGACGTCGGCCTGGCCCGCTCCTGGTGCCAGGCGGCTGCCACAGGCCGGGCCCTGTGACCTGCTCAGCCCCTTGGCGATCACGAGAGTGATGGAGTGGCGGGGGCCGTCCTGGTCTGCGTGTAGAGACTGCCCCGAGTCTCTTCGGACCCTGGCCTCATTTCCTCTGTCCAAGCTGGGCCTCCCAGGGAGCACTGCGGCGGCGTTCAGCGTGCTGGGTGTTCATTACCAGGGGCCCTTGGGACCCACACCTGCGGGAGGGAAGGGGTGGAAACAGGATCAGGTGGAGGGAGAACTTGTATGCAGGCCTCAGTTGACCTTATGGAGAGTTCCAGAGCCGAAATAGTCCTTCATAGGACTATTTGGCCCAGCATTTGGCCAAAGTGGACCAGTTATTGGATATGGGCCACCAGGGAAGGGTGCGACCTTGGGCCAGGCAGCTCTCTGCAGCTGAGACAGGCCCTGGACGGGTGGCCACCAAAGGCTGTCTGCTGACCACACTCCCAGCAGCTGGGTGGCAAGTCCCTTCTTCTTCTTCTTCTTCTTCCCCTCCTCCTCCTCCTCCTTCTTCTTCTTAATGTTTATTTATTAAACATTTATCTTGAGAGAGAGAGAGAGAGAGAGAGAGAGCGAGCAGGATGGGGACAGAGAGGAAGATAGAGAATCCCAAGCAGGTTGAGAGTCCAGTATGGGGCTCAAACTCACAAACTGGGAGATCATGACCTGAACAGAAACCAAGAGTTGGTTCGTATGAGTCACTCAGGCGCCCCCCAAGTCCCTTATTTTTTTAAAGATGCATATATGTATGTATATGTGTATGTAATCTCTACACCCAACGTGGGGCTCAAACTCACGACCCCGATGTCAAGAATCACATGCTCATTAGCCTGAGTCAGTCAGGTGCCCCAGAGGTCCCTTCTTTCTTATTTATTTGTTTGTTTTTATTTGAGAGAGAGAGAGAGATGAGCAGGGGAGGGGCAGAGAGTGAGACTCCCAAGCAGGCTCCCACTGTCAGCATAGAACCCGATGCAGGACTTGAACTCATGAACTGTGAGACCTAAGCCAAAATCAAGAGTCCCTCGCTTAACCAACTCAGCCACCCGGGTGGCCCCCAGCAGGTCCCTTCCTGAGAGAGTGGTTCTAAGCATCTCCTTGTTCATGACACTGACCAACATCCCTTCCTCTGTGGCAGTCTGTCTTTTATTTGCAATTATTTTCATTTTAAGATTTATTAAAAATGCAAAAAAAAAAAAAAACCCATTCTTTTAAAATGCGTAAAACAGGGGCACCTGGGTGGCTTAGTCGGTTGAGCGTCGGACTTCAGCTCAGGTCATGATCTTGCTGTTTGTGGGTTCAGGCCCACGTCGGGCTCAGGGCTGACAGCTCGGAGCCTGGAGCCTGCTTCAGATTCTTGGTCTCCCTCTCTCTCTCTCTCTCTCTCTCTCTGCCCCTCCCCTGCTCACACTCTGTCTTTCTCTAAAAAATAAATAGTTAAAAAATTTTTAATAAATAAAATACAATGCATAAAACAAAAGACATAAGATTACAAAAGAAACCAATTATATTTATATTCAGATATCAAAATGTTAAACCAAATTCGTGATACAGTCACAACTATGCTTCTTTATTTAAAGCATGAGATATAAACATTTTAAAATACATATTAAAAATATAAACGAACGAGGGGCACCTGGGTGGCTTAGTCGGTTAAGCGTCCGACTTTCGCTTGGGTCATGGTCTCCCGGTTTGTGGGTTCGAGCCCCGCGTCAGGCTCTGTGCTGACTGCCAAGCTCAGAGCCTGGAGCCTATTTCAGTCTGTGACTCCCTCTCTCTCTGACCCTCCCCTGCTCACGCTGTCTCTCTCTCTCTCCTAGAAATAAATAAAACATTAAAATATATATATATGAACGAATGCGGCGTTAGATAACGTCCAATAACTGCCAGAATCTTAAAGTGATGAGGAGCCTAAACAACGCAGGAGACACCTGCAATAGCTGTAATGCCATAGGAAAGTATCTGTCATTTTGATTTGTGACAAAGCCACACGTGTTGCACATCCCACCGTGGTTCGTCGCCCACCTCATGGTTGCAGCAAAGGCTTAATTTCAGTTAGAAGTTAGAGACAATAAAGACCTGTCCCTACACAAGTTCCAGGTGCAGGGAAGCGGGTGCTGGTGTGAGGGTGGAAGGTGGGTTCCAGGAAATGCGGGTTCAGCACGAAGCGACCTCCCTAACGGAGGAAACAAGGATGCTGTGCCGCCAGCGCAGAGGGCAGAGGGGAGCCTGGAGGGGTCCCAGGGTCTGCCCTGTGACCCTTCCCCCAGGTATAGGGAGACGAGCTACACAGTCCTCGGTTGGGCCGCAAACCCCCATACTCCCTGCGCCACCCTAGGCCAGGGCGCAGGCCACCCTCCCCCGCACGGCCTCCCCGTCTGCCCCCCCCTGCGCCCAGCCCATTAGCTGAGGCTGTGACCGTCACCCGGCCGGGCCCCTGCAAATGAGGGAGCGCGCCGGGGCGCCCGGGGCCTGACCCGCAGCGACCCGCTGTGACCAGCCATGCGGCGGCCTTCTTAGACGCGGCTCCGCCCGCTGCAGCCCCCCGGCCATAAAAAGGCCGGTGGGAGAGTCGCCGCCGCAGCCGCCGCAGCCGCCGCCCCCCGCCCAGCGTGTCCGCACCATGGCCGCCTCCGGCCTCGCCTGCCGCCTGCTCGGCCTCCTGGCGCTGACCTCCGCCTGCTACATCCAGAACTGCCCCCTGGGCGGCAAGCGGGCCGCGCTGGACCTCGACGTGCGCCAGGTGAGCCCCAGCCGCCCCTGCCCGCCCCGCCGCGGACCCGGGGTGGGGGGGTGGGGGTCGGCGGACGTGCGCCCCCTGCCGTGACCGCGGCCCCGGCGACCCCGAGCCGCCGCCCCCGGCCTCGCAGGGCCCGCGCTCACCCCCGCCCTCCCGCCAGTGCCTCCCCTGCGGCCCCGGCGGCAAAGGCCGCTGCTTCGGGCCCAGCATCTGCTGCGGCGACGAGCTGGGCTGCTTCGTGGGCACGGCCGAGGCGCTGCGCTGCCAGGAGGAGAACTACCTGCCGTCGCCCTGCCAGTCGGGCCACAAGCCGTGCGGGAGCGGGGGCCGCTGCGCCGCCGCCGGCGTCTGCTGCAGCCCGGGTGAGCCGGGGCCGGGGCCGGGGCGGGGGAGGGGGGGTGGCCGGGGACCCGGGACCCCGAGGGGACGGCGCGGGGCGGCCCCTGACCGGTTGTCCCTCCTTCCAGACGGCTGCCGCGCCGACCCCGCCTGCGACCCCGAGGCCGCCTTCTCCCAGCGCTGAGCCCGACGGCGCGGACAGCGGCGCGCCCCTCGCCCCTCCGCAGCCACCCCCAGAAATAATACAACACAATAAAGCAGAGGTTTTTTTCCCCTCCAACTCGACTGGCGTCTCGGTGTCAGAAATGGGAAGGAGGGCGCTGGGGGAGCCTCGAGGGTCGCGCCTGGCGGGGCCTGCGTCTCCGGGCCATTCCGAGCGGGAGGATGGGGTTCGGGGCGCGCCGTGCCTGCCCCGTCGTGAACGGGCCGGGGAAGGAGGCGGCCGGCAGCGTCGGCTCCGAGGGAGATGGAAACAGACGCCAGCTTCTCGCTCCAAACAGAGCTGGGAGCCTATGGCAGGTGGACTTAAGAGGAACAGTTCAAAGAACCCAAACGACAGGGTGCGGGGGGTGGGGGGGCTGACAGGGAACCAGAGGGAGGGGAGGCGGCCAGTGGCAGGGAATGACTTCCTTACTTCTGGAAGGAGGCTTGAGCCACACCCGAGGGCTGGCTTTCACGTTTGCGAGGAGCTGGACTCCAGGCTACCGGAGGCCACTGGTGCGCAGAAGAGGTGGCCAAGCTGCCTGGTCCCAGCTGCCTGTGCGGTAGAGGAGCTTGGCAGTGCCGGGGACCCGCGGGCGCGGGAGTCCTGGGAGCCCACCGCCACAAAATGACAGCAAAACGCACAAAATGACAGCAAAACGCAAAAGCCGCCAACAAACAGAATCCTCAACCTATTTCTCGTCCATTCCTGGGTCCAAAACCCTTTTGGGAATCAAGAGAGCCTTTGGGAAACAAGAGTCTTTCCCAAAACATGCTGTTATTCACTTACCCAAGCCGCTGGGCAAGCCATTTCAGAAAGTCCACGGCCACACTCCCCCTGCAAGTAAACGGAAACAGATCACTGTCTATTAGTAAGAAAAAAACGTAGTTTCTACAGCTTTCTCCCCCACTGGAGGTCTGCATAGCACCACCCCACAGCAGTATGTGGGTCTCACTGGGTGGAGAGAGAAAAAATACACTGAAGAGGACTGTAAGATCTTCTTTATTATAAATTGCAAAAACAGGCAAAGTCTTGGGTGAGGTGGTGACTGGAGGGGGTCCAAGGGAAATTCTGGGGTGCTGCTCATATTCTCTTCTGGTCTGGGAGCTGGTGAAACAGGTGTGTTCATTTTCAGAAAACTTAACACACTGTGCACGTGATTTGTTAACTTTTATATGTATATTTGAATAAAAGTTTAAAAATGAAAAAAGATCATTAGTGCTAAGATGTAAAAGAAGAACAGAGATGAGGCTTTTGAAAATCCCAGTGGCCTGGATTGTGATTCTCTTTGTTTTCTGGGGTTTTTTTGCTTTTTGGTTTTGGGAGGAGTTTTTGTTGTTGTTTCTTTTTTTTTTTTGCTTTTAGTTTATTATTTGTTTTGTTTTTAGATTTCACATATAAGTGAAACACTGTAGTGTTTGTCTTTTCCGGTCTTATTTCACTTAGCATATTACCCTCCAGGTCCATCCGTGTTGGTGCAAATGGCAAGATGTCACCATTTTTGTGGCTAATATTCCACTGTATAGACTATGGTTCTTGTTGAGGCCATGAGACAGAGCCCCTCCTTTCCCAGGAGATTAATCATCAAAAGGGACACAAGATGACTTGAAGTGGAGTCCTGTTTAAACCAACCGTGGTGAAGGACTTGATGCACATAAATGGGTATTTGAGGATGGTCGCAGAGTTCTGTGTCCCTCAGAAACCACACAGCCAGGGAGGGCTGTCGCTGGAGGTGACCGAGTTCCTCAGCTAGAGAAGCGTGGGGACGGATTTGTGCTTTCCCGAGCTGGAAAGTCTAAACGCCACCTTAGCAGGGAGTCTGGGATCTCCCCCTGGGACCTCCCTCCCTCCCCTGAGTGTCCTGGGGTGCCAGCCCGGCTCTCCCCACCCTGGGAGAGAGTTCAGGTCTCCTCACCCACTCAGGCACCCACTTCGCTGTCTCACTCTTCCCAGGAATGCAAAGGTCGACAGTATTTTCTTGCCTCAAAACACAGGGTCGGACTGACACCTCTTTTCCTGAGTATGTCCCAGAGGTGGCATCAAGCTGGGTCCAGTGGCCACACTGGCGCAGAAGCAAGCTGGGTGTCGGTCTTCATTCTTCTTGCCTGCTCAGTTCCACGGCGTTTGGTCCTCGTTGGGATGACCCCTTCAGACCTTCAAAGTGCCTGGGGACTTGTCCAGGGCAGTGGGGGTTTCCACTTTGTGTAACTTTATTCTTTGTTCTTCTACTACCCAGAAATGAAATTTCTAGAGAATATGCCCATGTACATATTCTCTAGAATATTCAAAAAATGTATAATTAGTCTTAGCAGTAATACAGAGAAAAATAAAGTAATTTAGCACAAAATATGACTTTAATATGTGACTAAACAGGCAAAAACTATGCTAGGTGACATACGCACAATCCAGTTCCTACTTATAACAAATATAATAAAAAGAGATTGGGACCCCATTCTCTACAAGATGTTCAGGAAATTAAAAACATAAGAAAACGAAAATAAAAAGGTAGAAGGGCAACAAGGATCAACTTTCTCTTTTGTGGGGCGCCTGGCTGGCTCAGTCAATAGAGCATGTGACTCTTGATCTCGGGGTCATGAGTTCGAGCCCTACGTTGGGAGATAGAGCTTACTTTAAAAAAAAATTCTCTGCTGACAAAAACTGAGGACTGATGGATGTGGGGGGGAGGGGGGGATGGGCATGGAGGAGGGCACTTGTGGGGATGAGCACTGGGTGTTATGTGGAAACTAATTTGACAATAAACTATTTGTAAAAAAAAAAAAAAAAAATTCTTTTGTACCTTAAGGAAAATACAGACTCAGATATCAACGAATTGCAAAGGGTGTAGTCATGGAATACTTGGGGAAATTTGAATAGTGCCTGAATGTTTCATGATATTAATGTATTGTGAGTTTTGGTTTGCAGCTTGCATATGTATGATAGTAGTGTGTGGTCATAGTTTTTTAAAATTATCTTTAATTCCAGTGTAGTAAACACACAGTGTTCCATTAGTTTCAGATGTACAATCTAGTGATTCAACAGTTCCATATACATCACTTGTGCTCATGGACAAGTGCCCTCCTTACTCCCCTTCACCTATTCCCCCCCACCCTGGTCTCCTCACCCACCTCCCCTCTGATAACCATCAGTTTGTTCTGTTTAGTTAAGAGACTGTTTAGAGGCGCTTGGGTGGCTCTGTTGGTTAAGCATCTGACTTCCGCTCAGGTCATGATCTTGTGGTTCATGAGTTCCAGCCCCACATCGAGCTCTGTGCTGACCACTCAGAACCTGGAGGCTGTTTCAGATTCTGTGTCTCCCTCTCTCTGCCCCTTCCCTGCTCACACTCTGTCTCACTCTCAAAAAAAAAAAAGACTTTTTTTTAAAAGTCTGTTTCTTGTTTGTCTCTTTCTCTTTTCCCCCCTTTGTTCATTTGTTTTGTTTCTCAAATTCTACAAATGAGTGAAATCATATGGTATTTGTCTTTCTCTGAGTTTCTCTTAGCATTATACTCTCTACCTCCATCCATGTCATTGCAAATGGCAAGATTTCACTCTTTTTTATGGCTGAATAATATTCCTGTGTGTGTGTGTGTGTGCATGTGCTCACATATATATATGAGCACTGTGGATACAATGTATTCATCTTCATTCATCTCTTGATGGACACGTGGACTACTTCCATAATTTGGCTATTATAAATAATGCTATGTGTGTTTATGTTTTTAAAAAGATAACTTTTGAGATGCACACCAGAATGTTTATAGATGAAATGGTATGACGGTTGGAATTGACCTCAAGATAATTCGAGGGTGAGAGGAGAGGGTGGGGTAGAGGTGAAACAATCAACCACATGGCTCATAATTGTTGAAGCTAAGGGTGGCGGACTTGAGGGGCCTTTGTCTGTTGGCTCTACTTCTTCATACATTTGAAACTTCTCATAACAAAAGCTAAAAAACAAAAAGATTGTGATAAGGTAAATGTTTTGATATGAAGAGATGCCCCAAATTTACTTTGTTAAAAATGGTATTGGGGCACCTGGGTGGGTCAGTTGGTTAAGGATCTGACTCTTGATTTCGGCTCAGGTCATGATCTCACGGTTGGTGAGTTTGAGCCCCGAGTGGGGTTCCGTGCTGGCAGAGCCTTCCTGGGATTCTCTCTCTCTCTTCTCTCTTCCTCTCCCTCTCTCTCTCAAAATAAATAAAATAAACTTAAAAATGGTGTCAATTAGGACATATGGATTATGTAAATCATAATACTAATTTGTAAAACAACAGCTGTGTGAAGCTTTAAGACAAGAGTATTCCAGTCTGAGAACCATGTTTTTTAAAAAATTTTTAAAGTTTATTTATTTATTTTGAGGGAGACAGAGATAGTATGAGTAGGGGAAGGGCAGAGAGGGGGGAGAGGGAGTGAGAGAGAGAGAGAGAGATAGAGAGAGAGAGAGAGAGAATCCCAAGCAGGCTCTGCACCATCAGCCTACAGCCTGATGTGAGGCTCGAATTCATGAAACCACAAGATCATGACCTGAGCTGAAACCAAGAGTCGACGCTTAACTGACTGAGCCACCCAGGTGCCCCTTTAATTTTTTTACGTTTATTTAATTTTGAGGGAGAGAGAGAAAGACAGAGTGTGAGAGGGGGAGGGGCAGAGAAAGAGGGAGACACAGAATCTGAAGCAGGCACCAGGCTTTGAGCTCCAAGCTGTCAGCACAGAGCCCCGAACCCACCAACTGTGAGATCATGACCTGAGCTGAAGTCGGATGCTTAACCAGCTACCTCGGTGCCCCTGGTTTTTGGTTGGTTGGTTGGTTTGTTTTAATGTAAGCTCGAAGCCCTACGTGGGGCTTGAACTCATGACTCCAAGGGTAAGTCGCATGCTCCACTGATTGAGCCAGCCAGGCACCTCAGTCTGAAAACTATAAATAGTTTCATCACTGAACATTTATCGCTATGATTTATTTTCCTGTTGTGCTGTATCCGCGAGGAC